TAATAGTATCAATAGTTAAAATAATTATTTAAAATATTCATTACAACTATAAATTAATATTTCACAGAATTAATAATTTAGGACTATATATTTTATTTATTTATTTATTTTTAAAAACTCATAACATTCCAGAAATTGAGAAAAATATTAATAAAATAAAGTTTAATATTTTAAATACTAGTAAAATTTATTTAAATACGTATAAAAAATTTACGGTTGTTACATCCTACCCCCCTTAAAACAAATTCCGTCCTCGGAATTAAGATAAGAACCCAAGGACAGATATGGAACGATATCCATAAGAAGAGGAGACAAGAAACAACGGGAAGCCCCAGAGTCAAAGAGTGATAAAGCAAGGACGGAAGAAACAAGAACATTGCCTATTATAGGAGGATGAAAATACGTCTAAGCATGCACTCATAAACAAATCCTATCATAATATCATCAAGCAATGCGAAATAAGGAAGTTCATACGCAATTAAAACTAAGAATAAACTATTCTTACCGGTGATAACTTGGTTGTTCTCCTTAGCTTCCACGGCCGTCATCATGAATGTCTGACGTGGTGGTTGCTGCCTTCGTGCTTCCTGATAAATCTGCTGCTGTGGAGGTAGAGGGCCTGCTCGAGGGTAGGGTCCGTGCTGAGCTGGAGCTGCTGAGTCTGATCGAGGTGGAGCTGGAAGAGCTACTCGAACTGGAGGTGGGGGCAAGCTGGCCTGCTGTCGCTGCGGACATTCCCGGTTGACATGATCAGGGGACCCACAGTTGTAGCACAGACGAAGACGCCTAGGGCACTCCTGCACCAATGGCTGGTTCTGAGACTGCACTCCAGGACGCTGATAAGGATGAGCCTGATGAAATGGCTGACGCTGAGAATGCTGCTACCTCTGCGGGTTCTGCTGCTGCCTCGGAGGGGGACGCTCGACATTCCGGGTCGGAGCTGCTGGTGTCCTGCTCTGAATCACGTGTGAGTCTTCAGGTTCCTTCTGCACGCTCTCAATCTCACGTGCTGCATCCAGTACTGCATCGTGCGTCGCAAGTTCTCTACCAGCTAGAGCAAACATGATATACTTATCCAGGCCCTTCTGAAACTGATGCCTCCTCATAGTAGGGTCTGTAACCAAGTGGGGAGCATATCAACTCAAGGAAGAAAACTCTGCCTCGTACTCATCAACTGTTCGCCCTCCTTGCTTAAGCTCCACAAATCTTCGCAAAAGCTCGTCCCGAGCTGACTGAGGGAAATACTTCCTGTTGAAATGGTCTGTGAAGGTATCCCACGAAATCGGTCTCTCCAAATGAGCTTTCTCTGCAGTCCACCAAATCCGAGCAGTGTCGGTGAGCTGAATATCCATAAGGTCCACCCATTCAGCAGGGGCAATACGGGTCACCGTGAGAATAGTCTCGGTGACCTTCAAGAACTCTTCTGCTGCTAAGGTTCCTTCAGCACCAGAGAAAGAAGGGGGCCGCATATACCGAAACTCCCTAACGCTAGACTCTGGACGAGGGGGAGGTTGGTGCTGAGGCTCCCGCTGTAGCTGCCCAGCTAGGTGCTGCTGATTGGTGACCAATCCCTGAATCATCGCCAGAAGTTGGTTTGGATCCACTTCGGGCTGCGGGGCACTGCTACTAGACGGGTTATCGTTACTACGAGTACCCACCATGATTCTGAAGGAACGACGATCAAAAGAAAAATTAAGGTTAAAATCAAATAATATATTTGGAAAATAGGAAATAAAACATAGTTATTAAAAAAATAGTATAAGAAATTAATTGTAACCTAAAATAATAATATAAGAACTTAATTGTAGTTTTTCGGCGAGGGCTCGAGCACGCTCGGCGGCGCTGGGTTCGTGGGTCGGAGGCGGGGACGAGCGTGGTGATGGGGTCGGGTTTCGGTGGTGGAGATGGGTTCAGGTGGCTTGAAGAGGAAGAGAGATGGAGATAGAGAGAGAAAGAGAGAGTACGGGTGTGATGGAAATAAGAGGAGAGAGAGAGAGAGAGGATTGGAGAGAGAGAGAGAGAGAAGATGAGCTGGATTTGAGATATTATTGGAGAGAGAATTTTATCACGGGAAATCAAGTGGGCAAGAATGGTATGAGAATAAACGTGATTATGAGGTGATTGGAGAGTGATTATGGCTGATTGGGAAAAGTATTTGGAAGGAATTCAATTTCAAATTAGAGGAAATTAAGAGGGAGAAGATTATGGCATATATTTGCAAGATATTCAGAAAAATAATATTAATTAACAACTAAATTTTCATATATTTGTATATGTACTAATGTACTAAGCTCAAATTTACATAAAAAAATTACTAATAGTATCAATAGTTAAAATAATTATTTAAAATATTCATTACAACTATAAATTAATATTTCACAGAATTAATAATTTAGGACTATATATTTTATTTATTTATTTATTTATTTTTAAAAACTCATAACATTCCAGAGATTGAGAAAAATATTAATAAAATAAAGTTTAATATTTTAAATAATAGTAAAATTTATTTAAATACGTATCAAAAATTTACGGTTGTTACATAGACAAGCTGCGTTAAGGTCACGGAAGTCAATGCATATCCGAACCTTACCGTTCTTCTTGGGAACTAGAACAATATTGGCTACCCAGTCCGGGTGTTGTTCCTCCCTAACAAAACCCGAGTCTATAAGCTTTTTAACCTCTGACTCAATCGCTTCCATGACCTCTGGATGAAACCGACGTTGCTGTTGCTTGACGGGTTTTGCATCCGGATCGATGTTGAGACGATGTGTGGCTACTTTTGGGTCTAGGCCAGGCATATCTTCATAATTCCAAGCAAAGACATCTATATATTCTCGGATGAGAGATATAAGGTCTTCTTTTTCGGATGATGATAAGTCTTCGGCTATAAAGATAGGCTTAGGGTTAGATTCATCTCCCATGTTGACCTGGATCACTTTATCTTCAGTGGGTGGTTCGCGTTGTTCGAAGCACATATCCCACAAAATGTTGAGGCGTTTGATCCAAGGATCGTCGGTGGATTCGATTAATCCTTCATCACCCCCTGCGTCTTCATCTAGATGACTAGTCGAAACCATGTTCACAGTTAGACTTTTAAAGAAAGGTCCAACACTGACGTTGGATTCCTAAGAAGATGTCCCGGATGAATGGTCCTGACGCAGATAATTACTGATTTCATTTTCTGAGGCTGATGGGGTTGTGACGTAGCCCACGCCTCTTCCGGTTTTTTGATAGTAGTCCGGAGGTTTTCCTTCGGGGGTGAGAGACATTCGAATCGGTGTTCGCCTTCCTTTCCCGAAGTTTAAACCCTGTTTTTCATTAAAGTTATACCCCATTCGTTTCATTAAGTGTATAGAATTGGGTTCATGGTAATAAAATTGAGGAATTCCATCATCTTCTTCCGAGCTTCCCTGTCTGAGTGGTGTGGGTTTAACTTTACCGAGACGGATTGGCTTTTGCCCTTTCTTTTTGGGTGGGACTTCGAAGAAAGCCTTTTGTGCATCTTCTACTTCTTCATCTGAAGTGAAGGATGACTTAATTGGCAATGTGAGGCATGCTTCTGCACACAATGTGTGCCACGAGTTGGTACCTGTATTATGATCATTCTCTATTTGTCCAGCTTTAAAAGATTCATTAGACAAGTACGCCAAAATAAAATCTTCATTAATGCACCACTCGCCCTCACTCGGTGCATTATTATTATTCTCGAATGGACCAATTACATTAAAATTCAACTCCCATGGACAATTCCCTTCCGGGTCTGGTTCGATATCTGCCTCATTACCACTGTCAATATCTTCTTTCTCTTGTGATTCCGAGTAGAAGACCGAATCTGTATGGATTACCACTGTCAATATCTTCTTTCTCTTGTGATTCCGAGTAGAAGACCGAATCTGTATGGAAGTTTTCCACTCCTCTGAAGGGGTATTTTCTCTTGTGATTCCGAGTAGAAGACCGAATCTGTATGGAAGTTTTCCACTCCTCTGAAGGGGTATTTCTCTGTAATCAGGGTTCGAACTTCGTCTTCATCATTGACATACTTCATGACCTGATGTAGGGTGGATGGGACAATGCGATTTGCATGAATCCATCGTCGTCCTAATAACATATTGTAGGATGTGTCCGCATCTATGATGTAACAAGTCACTTCGGACCTGAGATCTCCGATCCGACATCTGTGTTTGATCTTTCCCAGAGGCCGAGTGCTGTTAGCATTGAATCCGAAGATGGTAGTTTGAGTAGCATTCAACCGATGCATGGGAATCCCTAAAACTTGCATAACTTTGTATGGCATGATGCTGAGTGCCGAGCCTAGGTCGACCTGAACACGGCTGATTTCTGATGACCCGATGTATCCTGTGTAGTACAGGGGCCTGTCATGTTTATGTTTCACTTGCATATCTTCCTGAGTGAATGATATGCAGGGTATGCTTCTGGCTGCTTGTATACATTGCAGGCAGGACTGATCTTCAGACGCTTCAGGAATTGGAGTAACTTGAGTGATGAAGCTCTCCGTGTTCTTCAAAGCTTCAATCAGAGCTTCTCTGGTGGTTTTGGACAACTTCAAGAGCTCATAGAGGGTGATCCTAGCAGGTATGTTGGCTAGCTGCGCCATTATATTAAATTGGTAAGGGGCGCTCGTTTCGCCAAGATCTTGGTGAAGATTTTTGTTGAACCGGAGCTCTTTTTGTTTCCCTTTATCGACCGGCTTCTTTGGTACAGAACCCCCAGTGTCTTGGGGCTGTTCTTCAGCTTCTTGAACATTCTGATCATAGTTTCTCAAATAAGCTTTCCCTGACCGAGTATCAGGGTTGCCTTCTGGGTATGCCTCTAGGATGATTCTCTCTTTTTCTGAGTCAGTGAGAGGTTTGAGATGGTCATTATTCTCATTAACAGAGGGGCTAATCATGTTGGATGACTTAGCCTTGCTTCCTTTCTGCTTGGATAGGGTGTTTGTCCATTGCTGATCTTTAATTAGGTCAGGATGGACCTACATGATCTCTCCTTTTTGGATAGTGAGGGGTACTAACCCCCTGTCTTTCTGATTGTGTAAATCAGTATTTTTCAAGTGCATTTCCCCTTTATGGATGGGAATGACACCATCTGTAACAACTACAGGGAGGAAGTCACCAAACTGGACCGCAATCAAGTTAGTAGATACAGTCTTCTGCTCCGGCTTCAGGGTAAGTACATTAGCATTCACCAAATTTTGCAAGATGTCTTTGAACACAACATTTTCTGGTAGGATGTCCCAAGAACCTATGATAGCGACAGTAATTGGGGTCATCTATCTTCCCTGCTTCATCTGGTTTTCTGATTTTGAGAAGTTGCAATTTATTGTTCTAGGTGCTCTTTGTTGGTTCGGTGTTTTGCCTTATTTCCCTGATGGTGTACGTGCATCGGTATCGGCAGCTAACGTCTCCTTTCCTTTTGCCTTATTTCCCTGATGGTGTACGTGCATCGGTATCGGCAGCTAACGTCTCCTTTCCCTTGGAGCGAGGTGCATTGTTCTGGTTGCGCTGTTGTTGTGGCTTGAGTTGAGTAACTTCTTCAGCCTTGATCCGTGCAACAATCTCTTCGGCTTATTCTCCTTGAGAAACTAATTGTCTCCAGGAGCGACGTTCTGCCACTCCCATCTGAGCGAGGAGCTGAGTCTGCAAGTTGTGCCTGCAAGTTTCAACTAAGGTTGATTGAGTCATACCTGACGGGCATCGCAATGCCATGCTGCGGAATCTTTCCACATAAGTCTTGATAGATTCTCCCTTCTTTTGCTTGGTGGTGAGAAGGGTAGGAACTGAGACTTCTGTGTCATCTTTGAAGAATCTGGCTAAGAAAAGCCTTTCCAGATCTACCCACTTCTGAATGGATCCAGCAGGCAGTTTCATAAACCATTCAAAGACTACTCCCTTAAGAGTACCGATGAACAAACGGGTTAGGATGGCGTCGTTGGCTACCTCATCTCCGGTCTGTGACTTAAAGTAGTAGATGTGTTGGTTCGGCGACCCTGTACCATCGAAAGGTTGTAGAGTTGGGGCCTTAAACTTTGGCGGATAGGGAGCTGTATCCCATTCTACGGGGTAAGGCCGTATTACTTCTTCCTCGCGAAGCTCGCTTCTATTGGCGATTGCGTTAAGGCGGGCTTCTAGCTCATCCACTTTAGTTGATTGAGGATTCTGCTCTCTCTCCACGTCCATCTCGTTTTCGGAAGAAGACTCCAAGTTGTGAGTCTCCTGTTCTAAATTTTCAAGTACTTTCTGGTACTTTCTGCTTTCCTTTGGAGTTTATCCTTCGGGAAGATTTAGGTTTTTGGCCTTTCTCGGCGAGGAGTTGAGCCAACATATCCTTCATTTGGAGAAGGGTCTCTTGTTGTGTATGGAGCATAACGTGGTGTTCGTTGACTGTTTTAGCTAAATCTTCGGGGTCTCCAATCATGTAAACAGAGACTTCCCGTGCTACGACGGAGCTTGAAGATTGGGATTCGACGATTGCCGAATGTTCATCATCAGAAGTAATGCCTTTGGCCAGCTTTCTATAGTTAACTGAACGGATAGCTCCTGTCCGCGCCTGGGTGTGTCGATATACTCCTTCGAACTCGTCGCAAATTTCCCGAACGGTCGGGGAATGGCTTCTTTCTGATTCATAAGAATTGGGAGTGGCT